ATGTACATTGTATCTGTTGTGCAATAAAATTGATTAATTGATTGATTGATTGATTTGCTATCACCAGCTATCAACTGCACCATAATGAATAAGACAGATTTTAGAATGTAACAGTCTCTGAAAGAACAAATGAAAATGTTACTTCAAATACCTGAGAACCTAGGAAATGAATTGTTGTGGCCTCTAAGCTTTGAAAGGTAGGGGGACAATCAGTTTTCAATTAAAGGGCAGATAATTGCTGATTTTCAAGTGTAACATTTGCCAAAAGTTTGCAAACATTTGCCAAAATTTTTACTTAGGAATTCTGAGCACCTAGCAAATAAATTGTTGCAGCCTTTTAAGCTTTGAAAGTTAGGGGGACAATCAGTTTTCAATTATGTGATCGCAGGACAGACTGTGATGTCAGTGTAGTAATCTGTATGTACTGTGGGACCAGATAGTCACAGGTCTTACGAATGGAGGACACTATTGGGGATGGCATACTCCATCTTGGCTTTCAATGTCCATCCATTCTAAGTTTTACTTCAAGCAACAGGAATTCTTTTGCTTGGTTTGCTGATTTTTTGCTGAAAAAGCAAATAATCAATAGATTGTAATATATGTTTCATATGGAAAATATATTGAACATTGTTTGTGGATAGCCTGTACACAAATGATCATGTATTTTTTTTTGTTTATATCAATTATCTTTTTATGTTGATAAATTCTGTCACTAATTGTTTACATGGTAAATTATAACATACTGCAACAGGGTGGCATAAAATCATAGAATTACCTGGAAAAGGGGTTTGGATTTCATTTGTTTTGTTTGTAAATTATGAAGTCCCACAAACAAATGATTATAGCAATGATCTTTTTGTGTCACAGCTGATGAAATCTAAATTATTACATATTGCAACAAGGTGATATACATAATCGTATACTTACCTAAAAGAATTTGCGCTTGCACTTATCCTAATATTAATTGATCATGTATCTTCAAAAACAAAGTTAGCGTTCCTTCAATTTCAAGTACACATGTAGTTGCAAAAACTCATAAGCAAAGTAACACAATTACACCCAAAGAAACAGTAGATCATAAAAAAACAGAACAGGATTAAATCATAATCAGATTCTGAACCTGAAATAATCTCTAGATGTATTGGAATTATCATGATTCTAGACAACGTAATGTTGACTGTGACTAAAAACATGCTTTCATTGCCTCCAAGTTCATTCAGGCAAGTATATTACTGGTTAAGAAGGGATTCTCAGTGATCAAATTTCAGGCAGTGTTGCACAAGGGGACGTCTGTTGTACACAAGTTAACGAACAAGGTATTACCGGTGGAGGAAATCGAAACTTGTGTCGACATGTTTTGCCTCCCCAATCCTCCGGTTACACCAGGCCGGGCAGGTAAATGAGGTGATTTCTTGCCCGTACGGTAAAATTAAGGGCTGTGTATGGATGGCAGCATTTCTCCCCAAGTCTCCATATGAAGGTAGGATTAACAGGATCAGGCTACTGTAAAAGCACTCGGCAAAAATCAATTTTTGCACCAATTCTCATTTGTATTTAGTTCAGACGGAGTGACCTCGGTAATTCTGCTAGCCGCCGCGGGCATTGTTGATTTGGAATCGGAGTGTCAAACGCAGAAAAGGGGCGACCTCTCCCCCTTCCGAGCGAGCACGGATCGCGATGGAACCTGAGTTTGTATGCTAATTACACCGGATAGAAGTCATTTGAAAGACAAGGCAGCGGAAGAAACAGTCGAGAGGATACTGGGCAGAACAAGAGGCAAACGTACTTACTCCTCCGAGCACAGGGCTAGGCAATCAAAACTTAAATCCGTCGTAAATTGAACGAATATCAGATGAAAGGCAACTGGAGAAGCACATTTTCGGCAAGCCATTTTCTTAAGTGCCCACTATTAAAGCAACATACATGCCCGAAAATAGGCCATTTTTCATGTATTGAATAACGCCATCGTTCTAAAAGCTTCGGGTGATCCAGTTTGTAAATGGAACTGGGGTCGTCGCTGACATGACCTGACAGAAAAAACATTTACTTCAAGCCGTTTGCTGAATGGATCTGAGACAGGTACATTCCTCAAAACACTAAACTGGGACAGATTACGGGCTTGTTTACAAATGCCCTCCCTTGCTCTTCGTTTTTATTTTCTAACTCTCTTCCACTGACTCAGAGGCAAAAGTCATCTGTTTCTCTCAATATTGGTCCATATTTGGTGATTGTGTGAGTGAGAAAGTGGGTGAGTGAGTTAGTGGGTCGGTGGGTCGGTGTTTGTGTGCGTGCGTGTGTGCGTGCGTGAGTGAGAGTGAGTGAGTGAGTGAGTGAAAGACACAAACAAAATTGTAGCCTGCTGGTTCCAAGAAAGCTTCTAGGGGGCCCAATCCTACACCCAAGAGCTACATGTTTGTATCTGCATGCTCCTTTGAAAAATCATGACCATGGCATGTCTACAACACAACATAGCAAAACAGGGAGTCCTGCTTCAGTACATTAAAAAGCTGCTAGGGGGCCCATTGTCTGGTGCAGTTTATTTCCAATGTTACCCGCAAGGCAACAGATATGCAGAAAAGAAGACTATTTCAAGCCCTCTTCACAAATGTTCTTATATCAGGCTTCAAATCCTATACATGGATCAGCCCAATGCTGTCAGTCTGACCTAAGGTAATTAAACAAGTGATGATCCACTTGTTCCTTGACTCTGTTATCGTGTATACCTCAGTGTTCCATCATCATTCAGTTCTGTCAAACACCCACACACACACCCGGAGTGGAGCCTTTGATGTCTGCTATGGTCAACTGATTCCCCCAAAGCAATCAGTAAATACCAAAACAAAGCCTTTGCCTGTGTTTATTGCCAGACCCCGTCACCCGTACACCTTATTAAAGACACTTCACAAGATACAGAGATATTCTCCAAGCAGAGGTTTATGCTTCAGCTTAGGCAACACCAATTTAATCAATTGGTTCTCGGATTTGCCTCTTCCCTCTTCTTTTGATTTGCTAAAAAAAGATTTTAGGTTCTGAATCAACTCCAAAATGCTGATATTTTGGCCCTAACCCTTGACGGAAGTCCTTGTCTTTGGTTTCGTTAAAAGTTCAAAAAAATTCACTGTATGAATCATATCCCTGCCTGATATGTTGACTTCATGGCTCTTATAGTAACATTTTGGGCTATCATGGGGTGCCATGGCCTGGTTTTTTTTTTTGTGCTGTCACTTCATATTTTTTCTGAAAAATACAAGAACCAGCAAATTAAATTGGTGTGGCCTTATTTTTTTACATGTTTTTAGGTCTTTTTTAATAGCAGGCTTTCTTTTTTGTACTGATAGAAATAAAGCCAAGTCAAGGATATATTTGATATGTTTTCACAAACCTCTTTGTACACAAGCAACAATCTTGGAGGATTGTAGATATTTTTACTATTGTTACTGGTGATTGTTACTACTATTAAGGTTCTACACATTTTGTAGAGTCTAGCCATTTTATTGGAGTAAAATAACTTTTTTTTCAGCAATTCACCCAAACATCTTGCTTTTCATAAACCTCAACACTCATAAAAGAGATTTAGCCTGGTAAGAAAAGTAATGCTTTATTGGCTCACAAATGTTTTGTACCCCTCTGATTTATTTTCTTTGTCTTCCATATCAGAGGCACCCTTGTGAAACACTGGGTCACCTAATAGTTCAAGCCAATTTCATTGACTGTCCCAATATATTACGTCCCCCAGATCAAACACCAATAGAACATAACCACGATAAAGAGTATTTACACTGCGAGCTTAAGTGATGACTTCTAGTGCAGCGTAAATATGCGCTGGGCCTGAGTGAGTCCCTAGCTAATTTCTGAATGGAAGGGAAGCAAATAAATGTTGCGGTACAGTTCAATTTAATGACTGTGTCAATATGAAGATACAATCTATGAAGTATTCATGGTTTCCCCATTCATTAATTCACCCGAAAGGAGGGAAGTATTGTTTTTTGGCATGTATGTGTGTCTGTCTGTCTGTCTGTATATGTGTGTGTGTGTGTGTGTGTGTGTGTGTGTCCATACATATTTCTAATATTTCAAAATACACAATGCAGTATAATTAATACATCCTCATTAGTACTCATACTATGGGACTGGAAGGCTCACAAAGCAGTATGGGTAAGGGGGTGAAGTCTGCCATCTCTACTTTGTTTTTCTTCCTTTGCATGCCCTTGCCACTTCTTTGGGACATTTTACATTCAGAAAATATTCAAATCTGAGATACTATAGTATAAACAGTTGTCATATTAACATTGTTTTAGTAGAAGTCGTTAGTAGAAATCGTTATGATCCAAATTTAAACTGTAATTTCCAGCACAAGAATTTTTGACTGTAGATCTCCAATTTTGTCAAGGAATGAACGTAACACTGAAGTGGTGGATTGCTCATTTATTGACAAAGACTGGAGTTGTACAGTCGACAATTTGTGTGAGTCTATAGCACTTCAAACTTGCTTCATAAAGCTTGTGATGAAGATTCTATGATGAGACCAAAGTTGTCTATTGTCCTATAAGAGACAGTCTCTGACGATAATGATCATTTGAGACTCTCCCCAACTCTCCCCCAAAACAGCAGTGAGCTGGCAAAATTACATCTGCCACACCGGGAGTGCTTTAATTGCAACATAAGAAACCCCTTTTATGTTTCAAATGACCTGCTAAATCTGATACATTCTGACTTTTATCCACCATATTATGGAGTGTGCAAATGTAATGGCCGAGCATTACTGCCAGTTACACAGCTTTAATCTCAAAGTTATGGTGGGTGATTTTAATTAGATAGCTCCGTGCACACATTAGACTGTAGAACGCTCCTTTACGGTGAAGAAATTCCCTGGAACGTCTCTCGTCTAATTGCCGATCTTCAGACTCGGTTATCTTTATGTTGTTGCAATCATGCTCAAACCCATTACGAGAATAAAAGGTAAGTAGTCGCAGGGTAATGATCTATTTTCCTTTCTACAGGTGCGACAATGATGCCTTTATTCGAGGTGTTGCTATCTGTGCAGGCCACCTGTCACGGAGCGAGCGCCTGGCAGACGAAACACCCGCGCGGCTTCTCAGGTGGTGGAATGCCAAACAAAGGGCCAGGGGTTGTTTTAAGGGGTGGAAACGGGAGCCGGGCTGAAGTACAACAAATCAGCACAACAGGCCAGACATTTACAGGCAGCTTAATGCATTTTGCTGTCAGGGTGAAATATGGGAGTCTGGGCGGATAGCTTTAAAGGGAGAGGTAATTTGTACCAGTCATTAAATGTTGTAGATTGGATTACGCAAAATAAATAGAGAAATGGGCCCTGATGATAATTCTTGCCCAGGGATGGGAAAAGGTCAGGCGGAGTTCAATGGGGAGATTGTTTTCTGTTTTACTAGCTGGAGGTCTGTAAAGTACAAACTTTGTTACTGTTGGAAACTGGTGGGAGTAATGTGAAAGGGACTTGTTTTAGTGGAACAATAGTGCCTTAGAAATCATTTCGTTGTATATATAGACCAAGGACATTACTAGGCTGTTACCACGTGTACACTGTATATCTTTGTATATTCCTTAATTAGGAGATATGTTATCTGTTCTTCTGTTATTTTGAGGAACAATGGTACCATATCATTTTATTGTGTAGACTGTGTCACCTTGTCCTATCTTGTAGTGGTATTTTGTTTGTAAATACAGTCAAAGCTGCCCAAGAAGGCCACTCAAGGGACTGATGAAATCTGGTCTATGTGGACAGGTGTTTGATGCTTGTGTCAATGGGAAAAACTAGTATCTAAGGGTCCATCATAAAGGTGGTATCACTGATATCAGTATGCTATGGGATAGGGTTCATTCAACTTCCTACATTTAAAAATGACCAGAAAATTGACTTGTAACAATCCAGTTTTACTGCCTTGAAATCGCTTTTGGTGCCTTTGAGGAACAACAATGCCAGAGTCGACTTGTGTGTAAGTGCCAACTGTATTTATTGTGTGAACAACTGTACAATTTGTATCTTGAATTGGCCATTGTTTCTCTAATGGGGAAATTTTTCCTGTTCTTTGTTGGTATTGAGTACAGAATAACTGTGGGGATTCAGCAGTTGTAGAACTGTATTTTAAGGACCCATAGTACAATAGAAGTGCTTTTGATGTGAAGACTGTTTATGTCAACTGTATATCTTTTGTTTTAACAGGGTGTGAAGAGATTGTTGTCTAATTAGGATGTCTGTTTTCACAAGATTACTGTGTTACTGTTGGGGAGAGCTGCAAAATAGCATAATAATTGATTAGGTTCTTCTGACTAGTTATTTTGGTTATGTGTGGCATGTTAGGAAGAAAATAAATAATTTTCTCCGGAGTTTTTGTGTCTGTATGTATACTCAGACTGTTAGGTTTGTCATAATGTTAGGTTTGTCCTTCATCATTTGCTGAACGCAATAACAAGAAATCAAAGACTGCATAGATGAAGTTATTAAGATTTGTTGTGAATTACTGAAGTTCTGGCTGATTTTGGCTAGTAATAGTAAGCATTTTCCTGCTGGCTCCCATAAGGCACCAGACATGCATATACATATAGCAGGAAATTGAAGACAGGAAGTAAAATAACCTTTTCTGGGACCGTTGACCTAACTTTCTGTCTAGTGTCTCCAACATGCCTATCATGTGAAAATAGCTAAAGAAACACATTCAATCAAACACACAAACAGACACACCGAAAACTAAACCTCCATACATGGAGATTTAACCAAAGGAAGTGTCCTGACTTCCCATGACCTATATGTGATTGTTTCAGTCCAGATATTCCAGTAAAACAGTCTCAGCACCCACAAATGAACAGATGTTGTTGCCAGTAGGGGCACAACACACACATAAAGGTTTACAGTCCGTGTGGAGGAACCAGTCTTCTGTCACATCAGTTATTGATTTTCTCTTCACTCCAGTTCATGTCAGCATCCGCTGCTGTAAGGCTAGTTTCTGTATCTGTAATCACGGTGAATCATTAGCCTTTACCAGGCTTCAGAAGCGGGTGGGAAGAGTAGAAATTGGCCAAACAGTCAGATGATATGCCAGGGGAGTTAGTACGCTAAAACTAAAGGAGTACAGTTTGGGAGCGGCAACTTTAGCGGACCAACTCCCGTGAGATGCCTCTTCTGAGCCTGGTAGAAAACCTTTCCAGAAAACGGTGATCGTTGAGCAACCATACCACAATTGAATGTTTCTGTGGCTCTTGATGTACGACGCAAATGTATAATTTAAAAGACAACAAAAGAACACAAAAGAGTAAACAAATGCCCACAGACGAAATACGTAGAGTCAGAAGAATACATTCTGAGAAACTTCTTTGTACACTGACTCATAATATAACTCAGACCTCCTCAGCTATCTGACGCAATCGCTCACGATAGCTGACTTTTCGCGCTCTTATCACGCACGTATGACGTCAGCATTGGGTCAAAGTTTGTTGGAAGTCGTTGAAGTCAATATCGTCCCCCGTCCCATTTGAGAGAAGTATGTTACTTTATTAGCAAAAAAATGTCACCGACGATGTTTTCGGAATGGACCCGTTTTGGAATACAGATGAATTTTATTTCGTAGCACAAGTATCCCAAATCATATTTTAGAATGTACAGCGTTTTGAAATGCACCAAGTTTTGTCGAATTCTACTGTCATAACCCCCTTAGGAAGGCCTGGTGGAGGCTAGAATTCTACCATTCTAAATAAATAAATTATAACCTCCTTACGAAGGCCTATAGGAATTCCCGTCCAGAACTCTCCTTGTTTGTCCTTCCCTCCATACGCAGGAGATCACTGCCGCAAATCCACGCTTCTTCTCGCGCTGGCAATTAGTCAAATCAAAATCCGATATGCCACCTCTGCCGTCCCGTCCGACAGAACTGTGCGGCCGCATGGACAACACCTGATTACCGCGCTCTGCTGGTTCTGAGCAACTGGCGAAAGATCAGCAAGACGTTTTCTGGTGCCGCTGCAATGTAATGAAGTATGGTGTTATTACAGAGGGATATGCTTTTGGTGTCATTTGGTTCCGAACCCAGAATGCGCTCTGGCGACTTTTCGTTACGCAAAATCTTTTTTGCTCTTCCAGATCAGCGCGAAGATTTCTGGGGCCACTGGAATATAATGAAGTATGCCTGTGGACTTATTATATAGAGATATGCTTTGGGTTTCATATGTTTGCATGGGAACAACTTATCTCCTGGTGCCACTTCAATGTAGTACCAAGAAGTATACCAAGTATAGGCTAGTTAGGGCCCAGTTGCGGGGAGTTGATCCGCTAAAGGAGTACAGTTCGCCACTCATTCCATCTGTCCATTTGGCCAATTTCTACTCTTTCCAGCCACTTCTTAAGCCTGGTAGAGGCTGTCAAATTCTACGGCATACACATCGAGAGACGACCTTCCACAAATGTGACCGCGCCGTTACCGGGACTTGGGTCCTTGGAATAAGAACTAAGTCCATTGGTTGGCGTCTTACGTCGGGAAAACATGTCCAACAAAAGAAAGATCAATCACAACTGTTGCTGCTCAGGTCTCGTCCCCTTTCAGATTTGTCTAAAAGCTCGTTAAGGCTCCCAAAAATTCGATCACACCGAACCCTCTGATCAGAAATCTTCATTTAAATGGATATAGCGGTCCACAATGGAGAGTCATGCCCGCCTGGGTTTCGGTCTGGAGATGAAGAAAGACCTTTTTAGGATCATTGCACCTGCATTCCCGCACCTGGGTCCGCCGCGATGTGGGCGACTTTGATCTTTCCTCTCTAATAAATCCATTTTCAGGAGCCGCTATGGTAGAAGTTGGTGATCGTGAAAGGATGTTGTTTCCAGGATGCCGTTCCCAGGGCACAGAGGGCGCCAGCTTAGAAATACCTTCTTAATTCATTCATTCATTGTCCTTTTTTTTCATTCATTGTTTTTCTCACGTTTCTTTTTCTCCTCCTCTCTCTTCTACTCTTTTGTCATTTCGTTAAAACGATTCAACTTCTTCATTTTGGGGCCAAATGACCTAAAATTTGGTATGAAGGTAGAGTGGACTTTTTTCATTTTTGTTTTAATGACTTTTGTTTCTTTTTGTTCATTTTCACACAAACAATGTATTCTTGTTATTTCTCGCAAGGGAAATCAAACGTAAGAAACGATCTTTGTATCATGTCCATTTCAGGAGTCCCAGCTCCGCCAAGCTCGTACTTCCAGCTTGCTACATAATTTATTCCAACACCATACATGGTGTCCAGCCCCTTACAGTGGTGAGAGAGAAAGTAAACATAACAATTATACAGATCACACAGTACACGCTTACAAAACGAAGAGGCGCTCCTCAAAAAGCTTTCTCGCTCTATTACGTCCTTCTTCGCTCTCGCTGGTGCGAGTCAAATGTGAGAAACAGAAACAGAAAACGGAGTACGGTCCGATGCAGCGCGTGTCTGGCGGGAACGTCCGATAGTTTGTGCCAGGCCGGAACGTTTCTCCGCCGCGCCACGCTGTGTTACACTACGGGAGGAGCGAGATTACCATAAATCATGAAAACACCGAAGTTGACTTCCATTTTGTGATGACTTGTCCTACACACAGGAGGGAGACAGAGAGATAGAGAGAGACAGAGAGAGAGAGAGAGAGAGAAAGAGAGGAAGACTGCTTCAGCACCAAGGACAGGGACATGTAAAAAACCTAAGACACGCTTCACCCAATCTGGTACACAGACCGATATTTTCCGTGTACTGTTGTCATGTGCAACTTATTTATGCACCAACATAGATCGATTTTCTTCAATTTGTACTTCATTCCAAAAAGCGAGACTGAATCGCCTATACATGTACATGACGATAATATGTTATTATCAATAATATTTTGTAGTTCTAAATGTGGGATAGTTGTTGATTGGCTCATGTCTGTGTTAGATATGAAGCCATCTGATGCCCAAGATGGCAATACTACTTTAATAAATTATTAAACAACATAGTCCGTCATTTAAAAGACTTATGTTATCTTTTTATAATCTCTCTAAAATGATGAATGTAGAACTATACAATAGACTCGACACGTTTATTCTATCTCCTAATTTATGCACTAACAGTAGTATTTAGTTCCTCCTTTGGAATTAGCCCACGGGAACAAATTTGCGGATAAAGATTATCATATAATCTTTAAGTCCATCCACTGTCCTAGATTCAGCAATAAGACCACGCCCGACTTCCGTATGACCGGTTAACGACAGAAAATCAAGGGTGATGCATCTCAGGACAGTTGTGCATGTGACGTACAACTATCTTGTGAAGGAAAATCTTGTCGCAGACTCGTGTCGATGGTCGGCTCTGTCAAAGCCTTGCCGACAATCGTACAATAAAAATAATCCCCCGACATATGCGGACCACACCCTCAACTAGAGGACTTGAATAGCTGCGTGCAAAAATCCGCCTTTCTTCTACTGACAAATTTCATCCATCAGAAACGTAATCAGATCAACGTAAGATTAATAAACCTTCGATTTCCGTGCGGCTCAACTGGCAAAGCTGATTATTGCCGCGAGACCAGCGGCATTTGTCTCCATTATTCTCCACTGTGGGGA